CTTCATATGTATCTCTTTCTCAATTTTTATCATGTGTTGATCCTGTATTTATATAAGAACAGATTTATATCTATCTTTTCAATTTACTTCTCTTACATTTATATGACAACAGATCCAAATCGACTTTGACTTAGATGAAGCCAAAAGTCTGAACTAAAATTAACCGTAATGACCATGGATATGGAAATTTCATGATTTGCATTGAATTATCTTCCTCAGCAAAGGTAGTTATTGAAGAAAAAAGGATGACAAATTTGAACAAAGCACTGTAATTCTCTGTTGAACGCAAACAGAGAACTGTAACATTAATAATAACAAACCAATACATTTGACAGACCACTCTAATTCTGTAATATACTTTCTCTTCGAAACCCTATTCTCATCAGTGGGTGTTTTTGGCCCATTTTGCAGAGTTGTGTACAAAACAGAAAAATTGAAGAGTATACAAACAATCCGAAATTGGAAATATTTGACTTGATTTGAGAAGTCAAACCTAAGAAACCATTTCCCAGTTTTGTGTGTATCTGTGAAACCTTCAAAGTCTTCACATTCGGCAGTGGGTTTCCCACATGACACAAAAACCAGAGTCCACACAAATTTAAAAAAAAAAAAAATTGTAATTAACACAGAAAGGGCTTTGATAGATGAACCCAAGCAGATTGGAAGCAAGAGACGGATTTACGCGAAAAATGAAACGAAATCAGAACTGAAAGAAGCATTACCTGAAGATCGGTGGTGTTTGAGACAGTGAGTTATTGTTCGACGCCATAGATGTACGCCTCAATCGTTCGATTTTGGCAAGGTTCGCAAGTCTTCTTTGACGCTGCAGATGTGTACTCCGGTGCTGATCGGCTCTGGCAAGCTTCGTCAGATGTCTTCGCCATTGAGGGTCTTCAAATCGCCTCTTTCGCTTCACCCTCTCTGTGTGCCCTAGAAAATGTGTTGTGTGTGTGGTGAGGCAATGGCCCTCTCAATCAAAGGCGTGAGTCGGGGTAGTTTGGTAAATTTACCCTAGCATGGGTTGTTGCCAAGCACGTGCGTGGGCTTTTGTCTCCATTTGGCTAATTTAGCCTTTTTTGTCCATTAGTGGCTAAAATAGCCCCGATTTGCCTTGCCAAACGACACCTATATATAACAAAAATATCACAAAAATAATGTAACAATGATATTATTATAAATATAAGCTATCTCTTGGATATTTTGTTTTAAGAATAAAGGTTCTCATTAAACCAAATTATTATGTATGAAAATTTTATAAAAAATTTCTGTTAAGAATAATTGATGCAATGAATCATACCATTATCCAAACCATTTATTATTTGGTCAAAAATAGAATAATATATATGTGAGGTTATAAATATAATTTCTTTCTTTCTTTTAGCAATGTTATATTATATTTGAATTTTAATACATTAAAAAAGAAAAACATAATCACTGTATTTGGTTTTAATTTTTTGAAAATTAAATCTTTTATTTTTCATATTTTTTATTTTTAGTGAATATTTTTAAAATTTTAAGCATTTTTTTAAAACTTTTTTAGAAGCACCTTACTTAGTTATATCTAAAAGCAAAATATTTGTAAAAAAATATTTAAAAAAATCAAGAAATATAAAAGAATACGAAAATGTAATAAATTCTCGTATTATTATTTTTTTTATATTTTTTGTATTTAGTGAATTTTTTAAAGATTTTTTTCACAAATATTATACTTTTTAAATGTATTTATGTTAGGTGTATCTAAAAATTTTAAAAATTGCTTAAACTATTAAAAAAATTCAGTGAAAATAAAAAAAATACGTAAAAATAAAAAAATTCAATTTTTTGAAAAGTGAATCCTAAAAAGTAAAACCAAATAAGGTAATTATTTTTTTGTTGAAGAGAGTAAAAGAATACCAAGTTACAGTTTTGAAGGGAATAATGTGTAACTTCTTAAATGTTTTATTTTTTGTTTTGTTTTTGGAATGTCACATATGCTTCAAATGTCATATTTCGTCAACTTTGTTAACAGTACATGGATGAAATAATAAGATTGAAATTTAATTAAAAGTGTAAAGTGTTAATTGTTACAATTGAAAGTGAATGAATTAAAATGAGATTTTAGTAAAAATACAGGGATACTAAGTGTACTTTACCCTAAATTATAATATCACTTTGCTGTCTATCTAAAGTTAATAATAAATCTCACTTTGATCTTTACATTTTTAATTTCCATTGACTCTTCATTAACGGTAAATAGATAAAAGAATAACATACAATTTAATTAAAGGGCCAAGCTTGTCTATAGCTTGAGATCAGAATGGAGCATGATGTTAGGTCCTTGGGCCATCACGGATCTTATTTTCGATGATCTGAACTGTTTAATATGTAGAACTCACCGAATATTTTATCTTTGGAAAAAATCTCGTTAATCGGATGTCGATAGCTTCTTGATCAACCAATATTTCTGTGATAGGAATCTGATTCGATCAAGTAACTATCAATATTCGATTAACGTAATTTTTTACAAAAATAAAATACCTGATGAGCTTTACATATTGAGACTTTTCCCAAATTAAGCTCCTGTACTAATTTATTTCCCAAACTAAGCCTACTTTTGCGAAATTTCCCAAACTTAATTGAAGCGTGTTTACAAAATATGCTTTTCAGCATTTTTGTGGTCCAGATAGACAAAATAAACGAAATTATAAAAACGTATTTAGAAAACACATTTTTAATTAAGGTCGCGTGATTATAAAATGCAATTTTAAAAAACGTGTTTTGAAAACAAATTTTCAAGAATAAAAAATAATAAAAAAATTTTACACTTGCAAGGGTTGGAAGTTGCTGCGTGGAATGGTTAAGGCAGTGTGATGTGATGTGCCACTTGCCATTTGGACGGAAATTTTGACAACAGACCTCCACAAGATATCACCTTAACAATCTTCACTTATTTATGATTAAAAAAAAAAAAAAAAATACAAATATATTATTAATCCACATCACTGTAGGGATGGTAGGTGTCTCCCCAAAAAGGAGTTCAAAACATTATTCTTATACTCAAAATTTCATTTTCCTTAAAAACCAAATTTTATTTCCCTTTTTTAATTTGATGATTCAAAAAAATCAATCACATTGTTTGGTTTCATAAAATTGAGCCCATTTTTTAAAAAATTAAAAAAAAAAAAATTAGTCAACAATTTTAATATTTGAATTTTTTTTTTAGATGCACACTTAAAAAGTATAATATTGATGAAAAAAAACTTTACAAAATTCATTAAATACAAAAAAAAAAAATATTTTCGTATTCTTGTATATATTTATTGAATTTTTAAAATATTTTTCACTAATATTTTTATTTTTTAAGTGCATTTAAGTTATGTCCATTTAGAAAATAAAAAAATTACTTAAAATATTAAAAAAATCACTAAAACAAAAAAAAAGTACGAAAAATGAAAAAATCAATTTTAAAAAAATCAATCAAAACCAATAAGATTTACCAGAGTGATTGAGACCATTAAAAAACACACCACTAACAGCTCTAATGAGCTGGAAAAAAAAAATAAAAAATAACAAAGACAGCCATCACATCAAGGGAGGAGCTAGCTCATTAGTGCTCCCCCTAGTGCTTCATTTTTAGTGCTCTCAAGCATTAATCTAAGATTTACGAATAAAATTGTAAGTGTCACTCTAGATTTTTTAAATGTAGATATTGATTGATTGATTGATTTTTTAAATCTAGGGTGAGTGAAACAATCTTATTAAATGATGGGATTTGTAAATGTAAGTCCGTGAAAGAAGCACCGACTTACATTTAGAGCGACCCTCGTTATCAATAAGATTGTTTCATTCACATTGTTGTATTTAGTTTTTTTTTTGGTTGATATGTCTTTAAAATTATTATTAGTATAATTGTTCAAAATTATGATATTGTCAAATTTTTAAAAATAAAGAATAAACAAATCCTTAGATATTTATCTTGTTTGGTTTTGATTGATTTTTAAATTTTTTTTTGTATTTTTTTTTTAGTTTTAGTGATTTTTTTTAATATTTTAAGTAATTTTTTTATTTTCTAAATGCACATAACTTAAATGCACTTAAAAAATAAAAATATTAGTGAAAAATATTTTAAAAATTCAATAAATATATACAAGAATATGATTTTTTTTTTTATATTTAATGACTTTTGTAAAGATTTTTTTCATCAATATTATACTTTTTAAATGCGCATCTAAAATATATATATTTTTTCAAATATTAAAATTGTTGTCTAAATTTTATTTTTTAATTTTCTAAAAAATGGGCTCAAAATCAAACAATGTGATTGATTTTTTGAATCACCAAATTAAAAAAAGGAAATGAAATTGGTTTTTAAGGAAAATGAAATTGGTTTTTAGTGGTGCTTTAGAGCACCACTTTTAGTGGGATGTACCATTACCCTTCTCAAAATTCCCGTCGAAATGGCAAGTGGCACATCACATCACTGCCCTAACCATTCCAGGCAGTAACTTCCAATCCTTGTACTATAGAGGCAAGTGTAAAATTATTTTTATTATTTTTTTATTAAAAACACGTTTTTTAAAACCACATTTTATAATCACGCGACCTTAATTAAAAGTGTATTTTCTAAATATTTTTTTATGATTTTGTTTATTTTGTCTGCGTGGATTACAAAAATATTAAAAGCGTATTTTGTAAAAATGCTTCAGCTTAATTTGAGAAATTCTACAAAAATAAACTTAGTTTGAAAAATAAATTAGTATAGAGGTTTAATTTGAAAAAAGCCTCTCACATATTGAACGATTAGGATTATCGAAATAATACCGTGATGGATCCTATGGGCTCGAACAACAAAATACAATCCATATAATGGACTAGAAAGAATTTGTTTCATAATTAAAAATATAAAGAATTATCTATCACAATTAAAAATGCAGGCATTAAAATAAAATTTTGATAAAAAAGCAGGGCCCTAAATGTGATTAACCCTAGTTCTTCAAAGTACTAGCCGTAGGATAGGACACCTTTCAAGCTTCCACGTTAACTAACTCTGATTCAGGGTTGGCCCAACGCATCGTAAGCTTTCACCAAAAAAAGAAAAGAAAACCCCTCAAAATTCGTTACCCAAAAACATGATCACAACATACTCATCTTTTCAATCCTTTGCTATCTCTCCGGATCCGCCATTCACATTTTTAGAGAGCGAGTGTGTGTGTGTGTGAGAGGGAGAGAAATGGCATCGAAGAAGGCCGAAGAACAAGGGTCGGCGCATGGTGGAGGATTGCCGGAGACAGGGGCGGAGGAGAGAGGGAGGTTCGAGTACTTCGGTTGTGTTTATCACTTGGGTGTCAATTCGATCGGCCGCGAGTATTCTCACCTTCGATTTCTCTGCATTCGCGGCAAGTATGTTGAGATGTACAAACGCGATCCTCACGAGAATCCTGGCATTGTAAGCCCCCCCATCTCTCTCTATATTCGTGTTCTTGCATATATTTGTGTGTGTATATGTCTATGAATTGTGTTAAAATGCTGAGAAAATTTGGGGAAGGTAACGAAATTGATGAATGTATGTAATAAAGGAATGCATTAAGTAAAGACCACTACGATTATGGATTATTTGATGGGTGGGAATTAAATCTCTGTTTCTGTTTCTCTGTCTACGGTGCATTAATTTTTTTTTTTAATGTTAAATTTGAAGAATAAACTTGGATTTTTTAATTGAATGTATAGTTGGTGGCATTTATTTTCACGGTGGTGCTACCTGTATCAATTGATATATCATTTAGTCTACCAACATATATTAGGACATTATTAGTGATCCACCCATTATACAAATTGCAAATACTTAAAACCTTTAAAATTATGTTACATCATCAGTTAGTGCACTAATTATCAGTTAGTATACTAATTGATATACCAATTAGTGCATGTAGTATTGTTCTTATTTTTATGTGATTGTTGTTGTATGGGAGTGATTTCTGTACTTTGATGATGTAATGACCAGAACCGTTGTTTGCAAGCTTTTAGCTAGCCAACGTAACTTGCAAAACCAACAATGGTGAATGGGAACCACCCAGTGGGGATGTGGCCGGAAAGCCCTATGATGAAATCAATCTAGGGATGGATTTCACTAGAGAGAGAAAATGCCCAAATTAGGGACAGAGAGTACTAAGCTCACAAAATTTACAATTTCAAAATATCATAAATTGAATACCTAAGGACCTAACCACTTATTTATAAGCTATAGACACAGCTAATCACTTAGGACAACTCATTTACAGTTGGCCAACCCAAAAACTCACCAACACTATTAACCCTACTACAACACCTTCCAATGTCAACTTTTGCTTATTTGCTCTGCTTCGATTTATATTGTGCTTATTTTAAGCCACTATAATTTACTTTAAAATTTTTCCCCCTATTTGTGAAGCACCATTTGTTCCTCTCTTTTTTTAACTCAAGAAGTTAGAATGGATTCAAGTCTCAAAAAAAGTAACAACAACAACAACAACAACAACAACAACAACAACAACAACAATAATAATAATTAAAAGGAAGAAAGGTACCCAAGTCTTTGGTATTTCAATATGCTTATTAACATTTAGGAGAAATTACAAAATAAATCCCAATGTTTTGATAAATTTAGAGAATACAAGATTAGGGTATGATTATGATATCATCCCCTTTTTATATTAATGAAGATTAATAATTACAAGGGAGCTCTAAAGCATAGAATAATTACAATTTAATAACAACTCAAATAATGCTAACACTCCCTCTCAAACTGGTGCGAAGATATCTCTCATGCTCAGTTTGCCTAAGATATTATGAAATGGCTTATTCCTAACTCCTTTGGTGATGTCAGCAAGTCGTTCACTAGACTGCACAAATGGAGTACATATTGTGCCACTAGTGAGTTTCTTCTTAATGAAGTGGCAATCAATCTCAACATGCTTTGTCCTGTCATGTTGAACCGAATTGTGAGCGATGTTGATTACGGCCTTATTATCACAGTATAACTGCATGGAGTTCGTCTAATGAATACCTAGATCACTTAACAATAAATTGATCCATAAGAGCTCATACACCCCTTGTGCCATAGCTCTAAACTCAGCTTCTGCACTGGACCTTGCAATCACATTCTGTTTCTTACTCCTCCAAGTAACTAGATTGCCTTCAACAAAGGTGCAATACCCTGAAGTCGATCTTTTATTAGTCACTGATCCAGCCCAGTCAGCATCTGTATAGGCTTCCACACAAAGATTATCATGCTTTGAAAAATAAAGACCCTTACTAGGAGCAGACTTTAAGTACCTCAAAATGCGCATGACAGCCTCGAAGTGAATCTAATGAGGAGCGTGCATAAACTGGCTAACCACACTGACAGCAACAACAATATCGGGACGAGAGTGAGATAGGTATATGAGTTTACTCACTAATCGTTGATAGCTCCCTCTATTAACAGCTGCTTCTCCTTCATCATCCCCCAGTTTCTGATTGGGTTTCAGTGGAGTGTCACAGGCCTTGCAGCCAAGCATCCCAGACTCCTTCAATAGGTCAAGCACATACTTCCTCTGTGAGATAAATATCCCATCCTTGGAGCGAGCAACTTTAATTTCCAGAAAGTACTTTAAGCTTCCCAAGTCTTTGATTTCAAACTCACTTGCTAAATATTTCTTCAACAGAGGTATTTCCTCACTATCATCGCCTATAAGAACTATGTCATCCACATAAACAATGAGTGCTGTAGTCTTAACCACATGAGAAATGTTTCACAAAGAAGGTGTGATCTACTTGACTCTGTTTGAAGCCATATTTAAGTATAGCCTAAGTGAATCTCTCAAACCAAGCCCTTAGAGATTGTTTAAGACCATATAATGACTTCCGAAGCCGGCATACTTTACCCTCTGTCGGCATACTTTACCCTCTGTCTGATGATCCCCAAAACTAGGAGGAATGTCCATAAATACCTCTTCTTCTAGGTCACCATGGAGAATCTTTACATCAAACTGATGAAGTGGCTCACTAGATTAGCTGCTAGAGAGAGAAGTATTCTGACTGAATTCATCTTAGCCACGGGTGCAAAAGTTTTTTGATAGTCAGCGCCAGATGTTTGAGTGAACCTTTTGGCCACAAGTCTAGTCTTGTAACGCTGAACAGAACCATCTGCTCTTTGTTCCACCGAATACACCCATTTGCATCCCACAGGTCATTTGCCCTTGGGTAACTCAGTTAATTCCCAAGTGTCATTCTTCCTAAGTGCTTTCATTTCTTCAATCATGGTAAGTTTCCACTTAGAGGTAGCAAGAACATCCTGAAAATGGTTAGGAATGTTAACAGAGGAAATATTTGACACAAAAGCTCTATATGAGGACGACCAGTGTTTTTAATGGCTCAAGGCGCACTAAGGCGCTGAAGGTCTCTCGGGGCTTAGGCGCAGGGCGATGCGCGGGCTTTATTGAAGTAAGGCGCACAGTCTTAGTAAAAAATAAAAAAATTAACATAGACTAATCATTCATAGTACTAAGACAATTTTTTTAAAAATAAAAAGTAATCAAGATTCAAGACAAAATATAAAATAATTCTCAAAGCCATGAAAGTGCATATTACATAACATTACAATTTTCAAAGATAAAATAATTCAATAAAATAAAAATAAAAACAAAAACAAAAACAAAAACATAAACACTAAACATCCAAAACATAAATATTCAACAAATACTAATATATGTCTTAACACTTCAAAACATCAATATCAAAAGAAAAAGGTTAGAACTTCAGTCGTCGGCCAGCCAATCATCATCCTCAACATCAATGGCAAGCAAACTATCATCTTCTTCTCCATCGGTTGATTTATATCCCTTAACATCTTCCTCCTCTGTGTCATCTGAGCCCGTTTCCTCTTCATCTATTAATTGAAGTGGAGTTAATCTTGATGATTTAGATATCCTCGGTTGTGCCTTTGAGCGTGAACTTGTTGCTCTACTTGCATGGCTACTTTCTTCTACTCCAGAAGCTCTAGCAACAGTGGCCCAAGTCAAGCCATCATCATCATCAAACACAGACTCATTATCTTCATCTGATTCTCCATCCATCCTCCCAAGCAACCACTCATTGCTTTCACTAATAATATTAATTTCGCCATAAAAGCACATGAATAAATAATTATGCATAAGATACTCAAAATAACCTAACAAAGTCGTCTCCTATCCTTTTTTTATTTTTATGTATTTTCTTGTTTTGTTCCTCTCTTCAAACTCAAGTTGGTTAGTTTCTATCCTCCTTGAGTTTGCGGGGGGCTGTTAGAATTTATCATCACCTACCACCACTACCACCTCACCTACTCCACTAAACCTAACCCACTACACCACTACCACCTTACCTACTCCACTAAACCTTCACCCACTTAAACCTACTCCACTAAACCTAACCCACTACACCACTACCACCTCCACTTCACCTACTCCTCACCTACTACACACTCACCCTCTCCTATATATAGGAATCATTGTAACCATAACATCAATATATCAATCAATAATAATACATACAATTTATTCTCTCTCTTTCTCTATACATTATTTCTTACAAAAAGTAACAACAACAACAACAACAACAACAATAATAATAATTAAAAGGAAGAAAGGGACCCACGTCTTTGGTATTTCAATATGCTTATTAACATTTAGGAGAAATTACAAAATAAATCCCAATGTTTTGATAAATTTAGAGAATACAAGATTAGGGTATGATTATGATATCATCCCCTTTTTATATTAATGAAGATTAATAATTACAAGGGAGCCCTAAAGCATAGAATAATTACAATTTAATAACAACTCAAATAATGCTAACACTTTCTCTCAAGCTGGTGCGAAGATATCTTTTATGCTCAGTTTGCCTAAGATATTATGAAATGGCTTACTCCTAACTTCTTTGGTGATGTCAGCAAGTTGTTCACTAAACTGCACAAATGGAGTACATATTGTGCCACTAATGAGTTTCTTCTTAATGAAGTGGCAATCAATCTCAACATGCTTTGTCCTGTCACGTTGAACCGAATTGTGAGCGATGTTGATAACGGCCTTATTATCACAGTATAACTGCATGGAGTTTGTCTAATGAATACCTAGATCACTTAACAATAACTTGATCCATAAGAGCTTACACAACCCTTGTGCCATAGCTCTAAACTTAGCTTCTGCACTAGACCTTGCAATCACATTCTGTTTCTTACTCCTCCAAGTAACTAGATTGCCTTAAACAAAGGTGCAATACCGTGAAGTCGATCTTTTATTAGTCACTGATCCAGCCCAGTCAGCATCTGTATAGGCTTCCACACAAAGATTATCGTGCTTTGAAAAATAAAGACCCTTACTAGGAGCAGACTTCAAGTACCTCAAAATGCGCATGACAGCCTCGAAGTGAATTTGATGAGGAGCATGCATA